TTTGACTCATTATCACGAATTAAACAATAATAATTTCTGTTACGATTGCTTATAGCATTTCCTTTCATGCTTAAAAGCAATAATACAATAAATTGCCTTTGTAGTAAAATTATATTAAAGGAGAGGATCAAGCCATATCGTCTCGTCTACTATTCTTCATACTTTGCCTGCTTCCATCTCTCGTAAGCCTAACAACTCTGACCGAACCAATCCAATCCTTATTCAAATTATTATGCAAAAAAGCAGAAGCATCGAGCAGTATTACCTTTGACTGATCGTTCATTCTTTCCTTCGTTCCTTCATTCTTTCATTCTTTGATTCATTCATTCATTCATTCATTCAGTTGGAATAATATGTTAGAAAAAGAAAAGCCGCCTTGCATCTTCTTTCGCTCCTTTTTTTCATTCTTTTTTTACTCAGCCTTTTTTTTGCACCAATCCACCACCATAAAGCAATATAACAAAAGCAAAACCTATGTACATGCCGTGAGAATTTTTATTCATATTTCTTTTTAGTAGAGGAAAGAGAGGTAGCTCGAGCTACCGAAAATGATAGCTCCCTTTATTACTGTCATAGTAAAAGCGCATTTCTCCTTCTCTAACAGATGCTTCGGGACGGATATTTTTAGCAAGCTTTATCTTTGGTCACATCCTCATTGAGGCGAGGAGAAAAGAGGAAAGAGTTCCGAGAGACATTTAAGAAGTGATAAAACAGTGACAAAATATTAAGGAGGGGAAAATGATTATCAATTATAATTTGTGCCAAATGTTTAAGTTAAAATTTTTATTGAGCTTTCAAATTATTATAGTTTGAGGTACAGGGTAATTTTTCCTCATTCATCTATTTTATTTTTAATGTACACATGAGAACTTCCGTAAATTATTTTTGTGTGGAAAATATTTTTCTTCTCGAATATTTTCAAAACACAAAAATTTCGGATGAAGGAGTATTTTGATCAGTATAAGATAGGCCTTGAAAAAGAGTGCATCAATGTTTTTCAGTTGATTTATTCATCCATTTACGAAAGAAAGCAAAAATTACAATTTTCTCTGAGAAAAACAAAATATCCAAAGATTGAAAGTTTGAGTGACTTTCAGTTTTCTTTCTGTCAAGTAAGATTCGCTAGAATAAATTGGTTCGATAAGAATATCACACAAAAACAAAGAAAACATCTGGAAGTCCATTTTGTGGATCATTTCCCGATCGGTGGAGAAATGACAAGAAAAGGCAACTTTGATCTATTCAATGACGTAATATCTTACAACAGCTAAAATTTTTTGCATTAGATGTATGCAATTTACCGAATGAAGAAAGACGAATATGTGCTGGAATAACAGGAAGTCCATATCGATATGTCCGACGGACTTCGAGAAATATCGTCCAGTAATAAATGAAAGAGTGAGAAGGAATGAATTGATCTGAGGGGACATATTTCATTTTTATTCATTAAAATTGATGTGAACTGAACTCATTGCATATCCAATGCACGCCAACATCGTTTGTCAAATTTGTCATTCGATATCATAATTGAAATATCACTATGATATCTTCCAGTAGGAAATTTTTGCATTTTTCATTATTTATTTAATAAAAAAAGAAGAATTTCCATCATTGGGAAGAATAGAAAAAGAAAAATGATTTGTCTAGTATAAATAATTAAAGAATAGGAATAAAATAATTATGCTATCTTAGAAGGAATTTTTCTATTTTTATTTTTCACTTTCTCAAATTGACTAATAAATTATTTTTCGATCCATTCCTTTTTTTTGTTCTTAGAAAAATTCTCATTTTTTTGCATTTTTGCAACACATCTTTTGTGCAACAGAATAATAATAATAATTGATGAATGAGTTTGAGTCCTGCTTAGAGGAGAGTAAGTTGAGCAGCTGTCCCTTTCTCGTTTGTTTAACGAGTTGCAATTCATTGTGGTTAGTTATAAAACAAACATTTCTCCTCGCTCAACATAAATAAACCTTTTCCTGTAATCGATATTTTAATCGTTCAGCTTTCTTTCCTCATTTACTGTTTCTTTTCATTCGTTATAGAGAACAAAAAAAGAAAAATAAAGAAAAATAGCTGATTTATTTAACAAAAAATCTATTATTTCAAAAATAACGATATTAAAAAAGATATTTTTGATGAAAGGTTACATTATACGGACAATTAATTTTTAATTCCCTATCAAATAATTCATCATCGATGCTATTACATTTATGACTTGCATAGTTTAATTAGTGATAGCCTGAATAGTAAAAATATTATTACAGTTTGAGAAAAAAAGAAGCAAGTAGAAATGAAGTGAATTTGTTGTAAGTGCAAAAATACTGCAAATATTAAGTCCTGAATTCTTTATCTGATTATAAATTTTATTTCTCACAATAAATATTAAAATATTTATGTAATTTAAAGTTTTTTGATGTAATATTAAAATATTTTTCAAGGATAACAGATGCAAAAAAATGTATTCGTTGCAAAGAATATATTTCAAAAAATGATATGGTAATGAAAATACGAACACTAACTTATCATGCTGCATGCTTCTCATGTTCAAATTGCGAAAAAAAACTAACAGTTGGAGAAGAATTCGTTTTACGTGAACGTGAAGATGATATATTATGTCGAAGTGATTGTGATACGAATAATATTGAGGTGAGAATATCGAATATTGGAGTGATTCTTAATTAAAATATTACTTCGTCGAATAGTTGCTATAGAGAAATGAAAACTTATGGATGAGCGGCTTTAGATCATTACAAAGGCGCTCCAAAGGCGCTCATTCAGAAGTCCTCTTCATTTCTCTTCTTTGTTGTGATTTTTCATCAGTTTTATTATACAGCAACCATCATCGATCAAAACGGATATCTATGGACGAGAGGATGAGGATGGTTGGGATGGTTCAACTTTAACGAGCCTAGACAACCAAATGTCAAGCACACCACCACTTTCGCTTCGAAGTCCTAAATCAGATGAAGTTTGTTGAAAAAGTTTTTGTTGTCAATATTTCAAATTATTTCCAAAATTATCTTATTTTCTCAACAAAATTATCTTATTTTCTCAACAGTTTAAATGAATAGATCTTTTTTATGATAATTTTTTTTTCTCGGGTTTTGATAACCAAAACGTAGTAAAGTATCTCATCAAGACATTGTCACCAGGTCAAGCTTGAGCTAACTGCCGATGATTTGATCGCGCAGATTAACTTGATCAATAGTCAGTTACTGATTTGCTTAGAATCTTGGGATGATATCTATGATTTTTCAACCCAATTCAATCTTATCATATTGGTTGTGTAATTCAGACAATTCGATAATATCGTAAATGAAAATTAATTGTTTAATTAGTACCATAAAAATCATTATGAATTTCAGATTGTAACCACTTTTAATACTTCGAAATCACAAATAAAAAAAAGCAAGAAAGATAAACAAGTAATTCTTTTTCACTCTTGTATGGGGAAAAAATAAAGAACTGGGAACTTTGTGGAATTTTTTAAATTCAAATATTAAATTCTGGGTGGAACATTCAATTGCTTTTTAATTGATGTTCTTGAATCTTGGAAATTTTATTAAATTCATCATCTGATGTTCAATCTTTCCAGTCGACTAGAGTTCGGACAGTGCTTAATGAGAAGCAGCTGATGACGCTTAAGGCATGTTATGCTGCCAATGCTCGGCCAGATGCTATGATGAAAGAACACCTCGTGGAAATGACTGGTATTTGATTCTTTTATGCTATTTTCCAGCACTAGTACTAACTTGAAGCTAGCTCTTATAATTTCTGATAAGCCGGCATTCTACACTAGTAAGGAAACAATCAACAAACCGATAAGTGTCAATTTTAAGAATATACAAAATAAATCAAACGCCTACTTAATATTTATTTGTTCACATTTAAAATTTTAAATTTTAAATCAAATTTTTGCAAATTTCAGCAACATTTCTGTAAAATATAATAATAGCGTCTTGCTAGGTTTAAGTCCACGTGTGATACGTGTATGGTTTCAAAACAAACGCTGCAAAGATAAGAAGCGACAAATTGCCATGAAGCATTTACAACAAAAAGCGGAAACAGTTAGTTTTTAAAGAAATTCTAATTTTCTGCTGAAATTTCCATGTATATCATATTTTCTGGAAATTTTTATATCGGATATTCTGGAATGTAGCATGTGACTTTCATTATATTTTTTGATATTATTAAATTTCCTGAAATCACTTTCACTTCTCTCATTATGGGCATCTATTTAATTGAATGATTTTTCTATTCAATGTTCTATTATTCATTATTCTCTCAAGTGTCGGAAAGTTTGATGTATTAGGAAATCTGTTATTAATATCTCAATCTACACAAATTTTTTTAATTGAATGTTGGTCAATGAAAGGTATTGCCAAACGAAAATAGTGATTAAATCAATCGATCAATTAATTAATATTAGTTATTTTTACTTCCTTTACATCCTATCCACATCTTCTCTCTTTTGTTTCTCTTAGATTGAATTCAATCAAATAGTAATGAATTACTAAATGTCTACTACCGTAGACCGAAATGATTTACATTATATCGGTGTGTTTCATTTTCTTCATGGTCTATTTGACAAGAATGAAATATTCTTATTTATTGGAATGCCAATAATTAATTGGATTTCCGAATACATTTTAAACAAATTTAGCAAGTCGCGAAATACATTAGTAATTTGTTGAAATTTTTGAATGATTCGGACGGCAGACAGAGTAATCCATTTAATCGTAATTTCTTGCAACCTTAAACTTTTTAAATAAATAAATTGAGTTTAATTGTCAAATATCCCTTAAAAATCAAGAAAATGCTACAAGATTGAGCACAATGGAGCAAAACTTCTTTAAAAAAGTCTAAAATAAATTTTAAGTTAAATTTAATTACATTACAAATTGCGAAGAATATTCATTTTTGGAAATTGTTACATATGTGGAGGATTTTCAACAAATTACTAATTTTCTGCTCTCTAAATCACTTCCCATAATTATCATTGCATAGAAATGTGTTACAACACATAAAACAATTCACGACAGTTAGATGAAAAGTAATGTAATTAATTGCAATAGAAGACTATGTAAATATAACTTGAATTTACCCATCTCTACTCATAGTTACCCAACATATTCAACATCAAAGCACTTTGAATTAAAAAAAATTGATTTTGAACAATAAGAGCGAAAGCTAGCAACCTTCACAAATTATTCGCAAAGAGGGACTGTGTTCTGTCCGTGTGCATGCATGTGTATGTGTGTAGGATAAGCGCTGACCGTTACCTGGACAGCACTGTCCACTCAGTTCGTGATATTCACTATCATCCGACCATCCTTCCTAAACTGCTTCTTATGATTATTTTAGGATAACAGAGTTTATTACACAGTAAAAAGGAAATAAAATTCGGCTAAAAGAGAAGTGAAATTTAAGAAAGTATTTGAATAATTTAAAACAAAACTACCTTCTTTCAGTGTGTTGTTTATTAAATTACAATGCTTTATTTATTTTCACACATTCTTATTTAACAGTTGAGTTGTTGAGAAAATTTGCGATAATGAAAGAGTATGTGAGCGCAGATGTGACCGTACCAATGCTACTGAGAATGTCGAGATCTTATCATAGTAAACTTACGAGATGATCACAATAAGGAGTCATTTGAGAACATCAACAACGAATTTCACAGCTTATCAACTGCTGCTGACTGTAAAAATAATTCCTTGCGATATTGACCTTTTTGGAACTTTCCCATCCACGATAATAATTCCCATCTTCGACATTATTACATGCTAGTCTTTTCAGCTCTTTTTAGAAACTTGAAATATGAGTGACAGCAATGAATCAATAAAAAAGGGAAAAACACCAATGTAGGTGAAGTCAAGCTCATATTCAGATTTTAAGCTTAATAACAAAATGTTTTAAGTGGAACTTGAAATCTGGAAAGGAAATTGGATGACTAAATTATTAGCATTTACACGAAATTAAATAAATCGGCATGAAAAATATGAAATCTGGAGGAGTAATCTGAGTGAAACATATGTTTCTGGAACAGTTTGTGAGCAAATAATACAGTTCTTTAATCATCTCTTTATATGGTACTTAAACATCACACCATATGGTCATTTTTTGTCTCTCTTAAATAAACAAATAATGGATTGGATATTTTGAAGTGCGGGAAAAATAATACTTATTTGGGATCAAAAAAATGACTTGAATTTAGCCTACGTTTTTGAATAATGAATTAATTTACGGGGTAATAATTGATATGATGAGAGGATACTGTGGATAAACAAGTAAACAAATCTATTACTTTAATTGATGAGATGAGATATTTCACGTCATCTGTAATATTTTCCGCCCCAAATTGCTTAAATCAAAAATGATTTGTTAGTTTTAAGCTCGACTGTTTTGATTTTCAGTAGCATATTTGGTTTGATTTCAGGACCACTTTGCAATTCTATCGTTTTTTTTAAATAAACAACAAGAAACAGGTGGAACGATGAAAAAAAGGCTTTTTCATCACTTCGATATTATCAATTTTTGTTTGATGGAAAAGAAATAAAATAGTGAAGTGAGTTTTAAAAGAGTTTTACAATAAATTGTAATCTTGAAAAACTCTCCACTCTCTTCCACTTCTATTAATTTATGCAACTCATTCGCTAAAAGAAATGAGACAAAATTATGAAAACTTTTGATTTCAAAGGAACAAAAAATAATTACAGGAGGAGATTGCATTGAATTCTTCCTATAAATGTAGCAAAAAAGCATCAAACATGAATGTTTTTGTTTCTGATACAGTATGTTTTCCGTGATTGAAGTGTCATTGAAGACACTCTCTTTTTAATTGTTCCCTTTTGAAGAATAGAAGAGAAAAGGGCCTGAAGGAAACTACTTGACCATAGGACGGAAGAAGTGAAGCTTTCAACAGAAATCGTTCTTTGAAATTATAATGTGGAAGATAAAAAAATATGTATAAAATTCTTAGTTCTATTTATTCTGCTAAAATTTGTTTTTTTTTTTTTGCGAAATGATATTTTTTGTAATTACCAAACATTTTAACTTATTTAAGTTAACCTTCAACTGACCTCATTTTTAGTGCACATTTCATTAAGCGTTTTCTAATAGGCATGTCTTATTCGATTTAAAAAATTTTTTTTTTCAAGTGTTCAAATGAGTGCACTGATGTCTGCGTATGCTTCCATATAATTCGGTTGGTTGAACAAACAGAGCATTAGAGTTATATATACATATATGTGTGTGTTTATGTGTGTGTGTGTGTGTGTGTGTGTTGTGTGTATGTGTGTGTGTGTGTGTTAGGGCATTGAAGTAAACAAGTGAGCCGTAGGCCTGAATTGAAATACCGTAATGGAATGAACCACTTCAGTGATTCACATCTAATCCAGTGAAGCGGAAAGAGGCCGTATAGAGAGCGCCCAACCGATCGTCATCCAACCGTCTCGTTTCATTTGTCACCCATATAGATGCCAGCTTGGAACATAAGTGATACCTCACTCCTACTATCACTGTTGCAACAGAGGTAGGAGGAATGGGCAGACCAACAAGTGAAATCATTTCGTGCAATAATGACATCAATGATGTAACTGTCAAGTGAATTCACTTATTTACGGCTAAGAGATAGCAACACTTATCATATCCATTTAATTCGAAAAGTACAAATCTGACTAGTTAAAGGATATCAAGTATTATTGATAATTGAAATGAAATTTTAATTAAGTTAAAATTAAGCTTGCAATTCTAACTGAGTGCCTTTTCTCGCATTTTGATTATTCCAATTCTATTAGTTTGTATGCAAACATTGTGTATTTATTTGTCGTAGGGATAAGATAAAGGACAGCAGAATGAATGGGTGGATTTTCATGACAGCGGCTATATTCATCTGTGACAATACTTTTGTGTATACATTTAAATCGATGTATATACAGAAGTATTGTCGCCGCAATTTACCATCCGTGAATAGGAAGAGAGAAGAGAATCTTTTAAGTTCATTAGGTCAAATGTTAACTTTCCACAAAACCTTATTAACTGACATCGAATTCGGTCATGTTATATACATAATTAATATTTTGTTTTAAAGATTGAGATGTGAAGAAACTTAATCATATTCAGTGATTAGGGATCAATCGCTGGAATCCATCACTTTTTTTAAAAAATTACCATTGTGCTGTCATCAACGATGCCATTTTATGATTTTCAATAAGGATGAATTGCGATTGTGATTACGGTTGATGATCAATTAATTTTTATTAATTGTTTTATGATAAAATTTTTCAGGAAAGAGCTATTACGGGGGTGCGATTGGGTGGTGTTGGTCCATTGATTGCTACATCACCAACACCACACAGTGATCCGAATTTAGTCGGTATCCAACCTGTGGATATTCATCAATTTCCACAAAATCCGAATATCTGGTCCGGTATGGAAGCCATGAATGCTCAAGGAGGTATGCCACAACCTCAGCATGCATCACTGCAGTCAACTTTGCAGCAATCTTCACCGTATGCTCAAATTGTGTGTTTTGTCTGATTTTTAATATCTCTTTAAGATTTCTCATATTTTTTTTCACATTTAGACTTTTTGCAATTAATTTCATGAAAATTCAACTAGCGTATTTCTAAAATTACAATACATCAAAATTCCAGTGATTTAATTTATAAATGTTAAAGAAATAATGAAAATTCTCAAGCATTATTTGAGAAATCATAGCTAACAAAATTTAAAATTTGATAATCATTGTAATTCAAAGATTTTCACTTTTTACTGGACTGTCTCTGTTAATTTAAAAATAGTAAGTTTTTACATCTAATTAGGAAGCGCAATTGTAATTAAACCAATGTTCCTTTTAATTTAAGCAAATAAAGTAATAGTATAGGACAGGTGACTTTTGTAGTACTTAGTGCATGACCACATGGCGGTTAATTCTTTGTTTTAGTTTCTGTACCCTTTCTTTATCGTGTCAACAGCTGCGCAAACATACTTCAAAGTTCGCGAACCTTTTTACATCACTTAATTCGGTGAGCAGAGGGCACTAAATAACACCTTTCCAATATCATTCTATTCTCCTTCCTCCTCATTCTGTGTATTTG